CCCCGCCTTCCCGCCGCCTCCCGCGGCGCCGGCAGCGCCGCTCCCACCTGCGCGTGCGCGCCGCGGAGCGCGTCGGCAGGCGGCGCCCCGCCCCCGCCAGGAAGGCGCGGGAGACGCGCGCCTAGCTCCATGGATGAATAAATAAAACCAGGCTTTATTGGGAGTTTTAGGAACGATAAATAAATAAACCAACCCACGTTTTATTACGAGCTTTCGGAAGGAGCCGCGTGGGCCCCCAGCCTTGCGTGTGCTTAAGCAGCCGCGTCCCTAGGCGCTGTAACCCGCGCCAGGGCGCAGCTCGGGAGCCGGGCGGCCGCCTGCCCGCAGGCTCCCAGCGCCGGGCCCGGGGCCGCCCCGCTCCGCGGGGCTCGCGCGGAGGCAGCCCGGCCGCCCTCACCTCCCCGCGGCGGCCAGCAGGGCCTCGATGTCCGCCACGAGCCGCGATGTCTCCCGCAGGGCCTCGGCCACGCGCCCCTGGGCGCCGCGCTGCTCCCCGCGCTGCTCCCCGCGCTGCTCCCCGCGCTGCTCCCCGCGCTGCTCCCCGCGCTGCTCCCCGCGCTGCTCCCCGCGCTGCTCCCCGCGCTGCTCCCCGCGCTGCTCCCCGCGCTGCTCCCCGCGCTGCCCGGCGTGGCCGTGGCCGTGGCCGTGGCCCTGCCCGGCGGCCGCCGCGGCCCTGCCCGGCAGCACGGCGCTGCTCTCCAGCACAACTGCCGGCGTGCGTTAAGGGAAAAAACATCGAGCTTTTCCACGCAGCAGTGATCAAACTGCCAGCGCACATCTGTAAGCGTCATTCTGAGCACCGTTAGCAGCTCTCACGCTCCACGGCACAGTAATTACATAAAACTACAAACAAAAAGTGCCAATTACTTAAAATATCCATTATCTACTTCTAGAAAAGGCATTTAAATGAAGCTTTAATGCACCCCAAGGTGTACTTAAAAATAAATCATATGAAGGTAATAATATATARTGAATCAGATACCATGTTTCACAGTTGAACAGCACTGCCCTTTCACACTGCTACAATAGTTTTAAGCATATGAAGCAGTGCGTACTTTTTGCAGCTCATTGAACAGCGATGAAAACCTGAGGTAGCTGATAAATATAGGGGCAGTTTATTGCAGGAATATGTCAAAAGGCAACTTACTTATCTCTCAACCAAAGATTAGTGGATGACTGTCACTAAAACAAACATAAGTTTATAYACTAGTTTATATAAGGAACCACCATTAGTAGCTGCTCCCATCTTTACTATCCCTCTCTACTGAGAACTGTCTCCTGGCAGCTATAAAATGCTCCAACATCGTCATTTACTCTCCTTGTTAGACCAAAGTACCTTTTTTTCCTGTAGCTACAAGTAGCATCACAAAATCTGCTATTCAGAGGTTACAAGAAAAAAAGGGAGGAGAAGGGCTAGAAATTCTGCTATTGATTTTGTTGACAGTGGTCTTGCACAGAAATGGATCAAGATCCATGAGAAAACAAAAATAAAAATGGATCAAGAAGATGACAAAGGTCTATTATAAAATACATCTTAAGAGGGTAAGGCATTAGAACAAGTTGCGATGATGACTGTCTTTGATGATCTAGAAGTGTAGCTTTGAATATGCACATGAACAAAAAAGCTCTAATTTGCACAGCTTTCAAAAGGATACAGTTAAATCTCTGTATTTTTTCAAGCTCAGCATCAACAGACCTGCATAAAAGATCATTATTAATCAAGTAGGAATTATATATCAAATGTAATTTTGTACTTCAGAATTTATTTTTGTATAGTTTTGCAGAATTATAGCTAATCAGTTGAGCAAAATCAAGTGGAAAAAAAAGCTTTATTTTTATCTTTCTTTCAGCAGCTGCATTTGTCAATGGCTGCATTTGTAAATCATCCATCTATCCAAAAATCATAGCTCAGAGCAAAGAATAGTCTTTTTGCTGTATATATGTACATATATAGGGACATATTTTCATTTCATCAACTACTGAATTATATAACTCTAATTCTAATAACTGTAATTCTAATAGCAAGTGCAAGTGTAATCAATTTCAGTTAATATTCTTTTAATGCCAGATCACATTTCCATATAATGTCAACAGACCTTTGGTCAGTATCCCAGATTAGAAGCGTATTAGGGACAAGTGATCCAATTGTCCTTTAAAAGCTCAGTGCACAGTTTTGGTCTGTTTGGGGTTCTGTCAGAAAGTTCTTAGTCTGGTTTCCGCTGTTCATCTTGCAAAACAGCACTTCTGTAACATTCTGAAGTACAAGAAAACAAGCCTCAGCTAGGACTCAACTTACTTGACTTTTTAAATACTGAAAGAAAAATAAAAAATACATGCAAATAGTGCATTTTGAGGTGCATTTGAGGGTATTTCAGATTGTTAAGAGATGCAGCCTTCAAAATACAGAATATATAGCCTTGTTGAGTTTTATTTTCAATATTACTTATAATCAATTATGTAAGATGAAGATGAATACCCATTTTCTTCATTTACAGAGCACATCATAGATTCWGGAGTCTCTTCCCTGTCATTCAGATTTCTGCACCAATCTATTACAGTTCTGATGTACCTATGTTAACATGAAAATTCACAGGAAACAATTGGTTATTTATATCAGAAATACACTCTATTAATTCATCATAAAGTTGAAGGCATGAGTCAAAACACCTCTATTTGAAAGTAAAAGCTGTGGTAAAAAAATCTAACTCTTCTCTAGATTTGCCATTTTTTTGATTCCCACTATTTCCCCCAGCAAGAATCTCCGCAATTCTATGCTTTCATACAAAATGAAAACAAAGCTGCATGATTTTTAATACATTTTTTCTGTGAAATTCTGCTTGTTAAAATGTAGCAGGGTAAGCTTCTGATGATCCCTATAATGAGGCTGTAATTGGAACAGATTAGAAAAACAATCTGTAGACAGAGGTCAATATCTATAATGAAGCAAAAATTGGATAATGTTCTATCACTTCCTTGCTCTATTTAGGGCGAAGTTGGTTTTTTTTTTTTTTTTTTTTTTGGCTTATCCACTGACTTAAGTGCCAAGTTGCAGCTCTAGTTTGACACTTTATTCTGGAATGACCGCTCGCTATGCTTCTGAGTCATATAGGTCTTAAATGCTTGCCAGATCAGATGCAGCTTTTGTAACAGTGGTTTTTTTTTAATACACTTCCTGATAAACTTTCAATATACATCAGCTCATAAGAGCTACATTTCTTAATCTTAAAGTTAATTTTTTTTATATTACTTATACCTTTCATAGATTCCAGGACGACTCATTTGGATTAGCTGCTGTACCCCACCAGAAGTAGTTATTTTGCACCAGCCTACATTTTCATTTACCTTAGAAGAAAAAAAAATATATAAAAGTATTAACATTGTACTAGAGGCTCAAAAAATGCACCTAACTATTACCTACTATTTTAAAAAAAAAGTCAATGAATATTCCACTGTAAAAAAGGGGAAAGCTGTTCAAAGCTTGTATTTTGTTGAAGATAGAATTTATCATAGCCACGTCMCAAATGCAAAGAAGAAAAGCTGGCATAGCCCCTGACACTGATTTTCTGCTATTTAAGAATACTTTATTCATAAAAGTGTAAAGAGAAGTTTCCAAATGCACAGAACTTTAAATTCTTCTTACTTTTATCATTAGTGTGTATTCAAATTTGAGCTTCTTCATATTATATTCTTACTGTATCTTCTGACAATTTGAGTTTATTATAAAGAGATCCTCAGGCTTTTCAAAATCCTGTGATCTCAAGGTAACAGTGAAGATACAAAAGCCAGACGTAGCGCTGGTTTGCAAAACTCAGCATAACCTGTATACTTCCATATGAAGTAGATTAAAATATACATATACACATATATGTATATTACATATATATACACAAATATATATATATATATATATATATGTGTGGAATCCTGTATCCACAAGGTCCCATTTCTGAGTAGTGATTTTTTGCACTATCCGTTTGATCAAAAAGGGTCTCATAAATGTCTTATGTTTTAACGATGCTTTTTGTCCAAGTGGGAAAATATTTAAGATATACCATTAGTTTCTTACAGAAGAAAAAAATCCCAAATCAAGAAGCTACAATCTACAGCTCATGGTTTTATCTGTTATTATTTCTAATCTGGGAACCTCACCAAAATTAAGTTTGTTGAAGACAAATTAATATGACTGCATGGCACAAAGCAGGCAAGGCTTCAGGTCAATCTTCATTTATCTTTTATATATAACAAAATATTGCATAAGTTACCTGGATCCTTCTAGAGCCAGGTGTGAAATCCCAGACCATATTCAAGGTCATTCCATCCCAAAATGTAGCATGGACTTTATTATCCGAATACACAACAACTCTTCCTATTCCAGGAATAACTTTTTCAGCCAGCAAAAAAGGCAACATTTCACGTCCATCTGTCTCAGGTTTCTAGAACCAAAGAAATACATCAAAAAAATCAGGAAAAGTCACTTCTGTGATTTGAGCAATTTATCTGTCTCCCAAATTTTCAGTTCCCTTGTTTTACCCGACCACCATCAGGATTTCCTTTTCATGCAATTAATTTCTGGTTCACAAAAGTATCTTGACACTGCATGGTTTTGGTTCCCAAATATGTAATTCTTGTTCTAGTTTACAGGATACATGCAGTCATTCTTCCCTTAGGCTAGGTTCTATTCCCTATAGCTTATATAATCCTTTCTTAAATAGAGAAGTATTTATAATGCCCCAGCTACATACCATTTTCCAGCAACAGAGACTATAGTTGTGAGTTAATGAAAGTTTAGTCCTGTAGCAGCACCAAAGCATTCTGAGGAAAAAAAGCAAAGATCCAAAAACCATCACAAATAAAATACTAAGCATTTCATAATTACTTATTATGTCTTCTATACTCTTAAGACTTTTGTTTTATATGTCTATAGATGTCCCCTGTGCTAATAGGAGTTCCTTTAACTTTTATACTTCATGATCATGATAAGCATTATGTATAATTTTGATTATTTTCTTCCCAAAGTCAGAACAATTAATATAACAATAATGAAATAGAGGAATAAGTTACTTGGTTGCCTGTGTAATAATAGAGGCTATAGAATATGGACTTCCTGGTACATCAGGAGGTAGACTGTTCATCGAATACATCTTTTCTTCTCTCTGCAATAGAGAGCAGAAAGGACTTGAGTTACTATAGTTATTAATGAGTTTCTGTAGTTATTWCAGAGTAAATACTGTATTTAAAAGCTTGTAGGACATGAAAATGTGTTGATTTCTAACCCCCAAACAAGAACTATAATAACATTTTTTTCACTGAAAACAGACAAAAACCTAATTGAAAAGTAAAAAATATGTATCATTTAGATCTACTTCTGTAGCAAGATACAAATTCAGAGTTTCTATGCACTCAAAACGGACCAAGAAGTTCTTGGATCAGACAAGACACTGTGGTTCACTACTGAGCAACTGACTTAAAAAATAGGTTTTAAGATGTTGACTTTTATGCTTCTTTAAAAACCTAAATACACAAATGTAGTGAAGGACAGAAAAAAAACCTCATATTTGATTTGAATATATAGTTAATAAATGATAAAAAATGCAAGGATAAGTTTATGAAACACAAATGGTTGTGCCAGACAGATACGTCACTTAAAAACAATGAAGTATCTTTGCTATTCCTTTTTTTTTTTTTTTTTTTTAAACCAAGAAAATTTGCTCTTCAGCTCAGGGATTTTTCTCTGAATTGCTCTAGCTACATGTCTTAGTGTGGAAGAAACTACTGCCATCCTTCCATATCAGTGAGCATCACTACTACTCAATATTGAACATTATGTTCTGTGACAAGAGGGATTAAAGGATCACTGCACCTTCCTCCTGGTTTTCAAAGATGTTCTGATCCTAACAGGAAAGGGAACAATGAGTGATCGTTTGGACTGACTTAAAAATATCTTTAGGGCAGTATCCTTCAGTACAGTACAGTGCCATATTTGCTTTTATTTTCCACTTTTTTTTTTCCTCCAGCACGTAACCTGCAGTGTGGAAACAGAAGCTCTCTTGCAAAACTCTTTATTAAACACTACATAAACCCAAAAGAGGATCTCTACTCCATGGAAATTTACGATAGACAAGATAGACACATAAAGCGGGGAAATCACTTTTTCCAGCACTAAACAGCTGGTCTGTAGCACAGCCCAGACCAGAACCAGAATGTTCTAGATTATGTTCCCACGAAACACCCTGATTGGAAAACAAAAACACTTGCAAGTCYGTAAGAAAGATAAGCATTTCCTCAATTTTATAGGTTTAAGAAGTCCCCTTCTAAAATAGTGAGAAGTATCTTATAATAATGATGTTGAAATAAATATAATACACAAATTTTTCTTATTGTGTTCATATGTTCTGAAACAGAAGGAAAAAATTAGAAATTTGTGTATGTTTAACTCATTGCTTTATTCTTGCTTATTATAGTGATCACCTGATGGGCAATTGTAGGGACTTAACCATAGACTATGAAAGATGCTGTCGAAGGAATCTGGAAGGTATTTTTATTTCTACCTTTTTTGTTCCTTTCTGAAYTGCATAATGTGTGAAGTAGTTTCCCAAAAATGCTCCTTCTGATTTGAGAAAGCTGCCATCACCAGGATAAATTTCTGCAACATCGGTACTACCATGAATAAACCTATGAGAAATAATAAGATTTTACACAAAACACTCTGCCACTAGACAAGCAACATATGTTAGCAGAGTTGAAGAAAACACTACGCACATATTCACAAAAATGTTCAGGTTTAATTATTTCTTTTAAAAGAGAAGCCTATAAGACTTTTATAATGCAATTAATGCATTTTTTCCCCTGGGTTTACTTTTTTTCCTTTTAAAGAAACTTAGGAGAGATTTTTAATACGCTGCGCTGAGGTAAACATCTCCCAAGAGCTACATAATCTCCAGASAGCAAAATATAGTGATGCTGGAGAGAAAATCCATTCTTTTCAGCAGACCATCTCAACTTTACACAGAAGAAATAATTGTCAGACTAACTGCTTCCTCAACAGCCCTCACATAGTCATTCCCATTACAGCTGTACATTTTTCACTTAGACTACCACACTTAGTGATCATTCAGTATCTTGGGACTCAAAATTTGTTTAAGGATCTATTTCTGCAACTCTATGCAGAAGTGTGCTGATTTCAGCAAAGGGGCTTTAAGATCCAAAGAAATGAATTACAGTCCTGAAATGCTGCTCCATATTTTGTTTAGATGAGTTCAGATTTTTTTTAAAAAGCCAATAAAATCCACAGTAGASCTGCTTGTTATAAAATATTACAGAGATCACCAAGATAAACACTTCTAAAATATGAAGTCCTTAACATCACAAGAAATGACAGAATTTGCAAAGAAAACAAGCATCATAATCATCAGCGAAGCYTATGGGAGCGAAGCCTACGAGCAGCTGCTGCTGCTCAGTAACATGTAGGAAGTCAGAGCATTTCTGTAAAATCCTTAATATGATGTCAGTTTTTGCTTCAGGCAAAGCCATCTGTAAATAAACTTTATTAGAAAATTTGAAGCAAACTGCAGCCAGTAACAAGCAGAAGAAATGAACAGAATCTTAAGGGATTCYTACATGAAGGCCGTGTATCAAGAAGAGGGGCAATGACATGAAAACTTAAWGCTGAATTCCCATACAAATGAGGTGTTGTGAAGATGAAAAGCAGGATCTACTTCRTACCTGTAAAGAACACCTTGGCACCATACGATTTGAAGCAGCTGAGGGTATGAATGGCTTTCACCGTCTTCATCCTTCTCTTGAAAGTAGTCACAGAAACTCCACCTATGTAAAATACAATAGAAGATCCACAAAATATGTAGTTTTGACTTTTATTTTTTTTTCATCATTACTGTATCATCTACAGAATTACATTGTTTCTATACTGAAAGGAGAAGCATGCATATCTGCTCAAAGGAAAAGAGAACATGTATTTTCAATGAGCTCTGATTCCTTAGTYATCTGAGTACCCCATTTAATATTTTCAATAACCCTAGTTATTCAAAGGTTGTTTTAATTCCTTCTAGCAGTGCTAACAGAGAATATATGACTGTYCCAATTCAGAAGCATTATTTTCTCAAAATAAAAAACAAACACCGTTCTTGCTCTTCTTTCTTCATTTACACATATATACAGCATTTCAGAAAATCATCTTTTTCTCTAGTATAACAGTATCTAATTTCATTACTGTGGGATAAATACTGTTAGCATCATAAATTTAACACTGAAAGAAGTTCCTAGTAAAGAAGAAGGTATTTCATTGTTTAATTTTGATAGATGAAACTCAGTTATTTTCATAGAGGCTGAAGTTCAGAGCTGCAGAACTATAAGACATATGTGGACACTAGAAAGTGAACAGTTTATACTACCTGTGTAAATGTGGTGCGCAGCAGCTCAGTGGCAAAGCTGTAGGCAAAGAAGAAACTGGTTCATATGTTCCAAAGTTCTTTAAAACATCAGATCTGCTTGATGGATGGTCATTTTCCTCACAAGYTTCCATTTCACTGTTAAGAGTGAATAGCTTAGCGCACATTAATGCCAATGACAAAGGGTATTTCCATTCTTCTGGGCAYGAGGAAACAGAGCAGCACTGTGTAACCCATGTGTACTCAGAAGAGCAACTTGGCAGGAGAGAAGGTTCTTCACCTCTGCCTTTTTGGTCCTTTGGTTTGGTTGGTTCTCTGTATTTACTTGCAGCACAACCACATTCATCCTKCTTAGTCTCTGTCCGCATTTGTTTTGATGACATTTCTGGAAAATCATTTTGCCTTGACTGCCCATATTCATTTTTGGTTTGATAACTCCCGTTCTTTTGAGAGGAGCGTAGGGATACAGGTTGACTAACTTTGCATAAGAACTCCACTGTAAACTCCTGCTGCAATTCTGACAGGTGAAGGTGAGCATACCCATCGAGGGAGGAGATCTTCACACTGCCACTATTCACACACATTGCCACATCAAGGGTAGCTGGGTCAGGCCATCGAACCTCTACGATATCCCTGAGAAGGATCTAATGCAAGAGAAAGGATTGGATATGTTGTAAGGYAAAAAAAAGCTTGCTTGAAGTGACAGTGGTGGGTTTGCATTTTAAATGCATTGAGTGTTTCAGTGAGGATGTGTGGCAAGACAATTTTATCCTATAATTGTGTATGTGAACTCATGAGGAATTAAAATAAYCTTCATATCCTGCTTCATCCTGTTCCAACACCAAGGCTGTCATTTACTATCTACTCATAAACAAGTAAGCCATAAAAAAGGCCAACCGGCCAGCCATGATTGCCCAAAGACAGTTAATACTTGTTACCAGGGGAGAGCCAAGGCTGTCCTGATCAAATCAGTTACTGGTGAAGTTCACAGAGAACCCACATTAAAACTRCATAGGTTAAAGTATCATTTATTTCAAATCCTCCCTCTATTTATAAAATGAAAATAATGAAGTGGCACATAATAAGCACTCACATTTTCTTACCAATACTGAAGCGTATCAAAAGGGACTCCTGGCAAAGGGATTGCCCAAAGGGCAAACATTTTCCAGTGTTACCTTGCTACATTTCGAAGGTCTCATGCTGGCACGCAAAATCCTGCATGTCTCTCTACCAGGCTACCAGGGCCTTTTTTATTATTTTTAATGAAAGCATTTTATGGATAAAACTCACTTTTTTCCTTTCTGGGGGTAAAACAGACGAAGGTAGGTAAGGACGAGCAGCAAACCTGTTCCGGAAATCTAGAGCTTGCAGAAGTTGTTCCTGATTGGAAAGAAAAAAGAAAGGGGGGATGAAGGGGGGACAGAAAACGGGGCGCCGTGAACTTGTCTATGGGGAGGCGCCGCTTCCGCCGTGCTGCCCGGTCCCGCGAGCAGAGCTCGAGGCGCCGCCTCGGCTCCCGCCGCACGCCAGGGCTCCCCCCGCGCCCACGCACCCGGTGGCCGCGCACGGCGAAGGGCACCCGCTGCCGCCGCGCCGGGCCCGGCGCGCTCCGGTACTCGGCGCCGCAGGCGGAGAGCAGCAGGCGGCAGCCGCCGGCGCCGCGCGCCTCGGCGGAGCCGTCGCCGTAGAGCACCAGGAGCGGCGCCGCCATCGCCGCCCTCAGGAACCGTCCTCCCGCGCGCGCGGCGGGAGGCGCGGCGGGACGCGGCGCCCCCGCGCGGCCGCAGCTTCGGCCCACGACCCCTAGCACCGAGCGGGTCAACACCCGGCTGCTTTCCTCAACAAAGCTTGATCACTCTGTGCGTGTGGTGCATCTGTATATCTTTATTCTTTTGTTTCTCCTACTTGCAGCTGAGACACGGTGCAGGGCTCCTATGCTGCTGCTTGTGGCTGCATTTCTGTGTGTGTGGTGTTTTTTGGCCTGGGACAGAAGATGCAGCTGTTTCAGTGCAAAACTGCTGCCTGGGGGACGTGAGCACAGTTGTGCAAAACGTGTGCATAATAAATTACATTAATTAAAAGGGCTTGTTCTTCATTATTAATAGAGGAAGGAGCAGTAGCAGCCTTTGGATAGTCAGGAAGTAATTTTCAGACTAAAAGGTAGCAGTGAGGCTTAGGCTGTGCAGAAGAATCACTTACCTGTGGCTTGCATCTTGCTGCTGCATTTCAGTGTATTTACATCCAGTTCAGCCCCATGGAGAACCTTTGCACAAGTCTACGCACGTGCCCTCCCCAGGCAGGCAAGCAGCTGCCTGGAAACACTTACATTTCCTCCTCTGCCACCATTTCTGGAAAAGCATTGAGAGGCTTGAGGGACAGATTTAAGAAAGCAGCTTGTAAAGGTACAACATACCCCAGCGGTGACAGRTTACAGATAATTAATGCCCTAGTGCTTCTTTGCATATACATTCATGCAATAGAAAAATCCAACAAATACCCACATATACAAGGTCTCTGCTGAGTGAAGAATTCTTTTTTCAAAAGCTAATTAAAAATATCAATCCTCACAGCCTTTTGGGAAAATGTATTTGTACCCCTTGACTATTTATGCTATAATCGGTTACTTTGTCAGTTTACTGTTAAGTGATAACTTATTGTTAACCTCTGTGCAAAGCGCTAAGCAAATGTAACTCAAGACCCTGTGATAYGCAGCCACATCAAATCAATCATGCCAGATACCCACATAGTCTCAGCCTTAAAAAACCAAGTCCTTCCTTACCTATGGAATTATAGGTTTCTTAGATCAACAGGGAACTGCTCAAGAGGTGAATTTGGTACGAATTTCTGTTTTCTAATTCGCTGGTAAAGCAACTGTAGATGGTAGATRAACAATCTAGCAGAGTGGCTGCAGACACAAATATGCATCAGAGCAGTAATGTTCAATTTCTAATTCCCCTTTTAATGATTATTATTATTCTGCAGCATAACTGTTCGAAGCAAGTTTCAGTGTAAGTCTTTTGGATTGTAAATCCTCTTTATAACAGTTTTATTGAAAGACAACCTAGCAATATAAAGATACTTGGTATTAAACAGGCACAAGTCTAAAAATTCCTAGTGCATGACTCCAAACTAGTGCACGATTCCAAACATGCAAATTCTTATTCTGCATGAGCACGAAATTATTTGTTTTATACCTACTGAAAAGTAGGAATGATGTTGCTTTTCTGCTTTATTAATTTTGATTTCTTGTTTACTAAGTAATAAAAGATGAGATGTTTTTTGCTCGCAACTTCACCGCTAAGGTTACAACGCTGAGCTTCAGAAGCGCAGAGGCAGGAAACTTCCCTCAAGTCCAGAGATCACTYACTTTACCTCTATGCTTGAGGAAGGTGGCAAACACAGTAAATAAGTACTTTATTAAGTAAAATCTTTCAAGTTTTTTAACATTTGGCTGTGCCTTCTGCTATAACACTTTTTTATCTGTACCAATTAGTAGGATCTACAAGAATAAACTAGATAATTAAAACTACAATTGATTCAAAGAGAGGAAAAGCTGCAAACAAACTATCACCAGCAGAATAAATGAGTTCTGTGCAGCCATGTGCACTGAGGAGGAGAATGGCAGACTATCATGAGGAGGAAACACTCACCACAAAAGAAAAAAAAAAAACTACAATAGAATTTGTTATATAAACCTGAGTGAATGTCATTGGAAATGAGTACCATAATGAATTTATGGCTTAAAAAATATTGTGATATCAGATGGAGCTTGTGTAGTACTACACTTGCATTTAAACCYGCCATTCAGTTTGTATTTGTATTTCTGTTTCTAAAATGAAAGATTTAGTCCATCAGCAAGAAGTTCTTAGGAGAAAAAACTGTGATTTTCAAATACTGAACACTTTTGCTTAAGCAATTTGTAAAAGTTTCAAATATTGTGCAAGACTTTCATGATGTGTGTAGTTAAAACTGCATAGTCACCTGTAAGAAATCTAACATGCAGTGTTTCTTTTCAGAACTGGCACTTAATGACAGTTTCTCCTCTCCTCCAAATTGTTATTTCCATGCTTCTGCTTTAAGCCTTTAAGTCTTTAAGTCACAGGAAAAAATATTTTTTTTTTGATGAAAAACATGTTTACACAGTGCACTTAAAATCTGTAAATACTGAAATAGTAGGTAAAATGAKCTTTAAATCCCTCAAGACTCACCTCTATGATACACTGAAGAATTACTGCCTGTTAAAAGCAGACAGACAAGCAGCGAGTGGTGACTGTTACAGGGCAAGACCTGCTCCTTTCTTTTGCTCTCACACCTCATTTCATCATCACTAATTTGTAACAGATTCCTGTGAGATTTAAGACAAGCAGTAAAGACTGTTAGATATTTAAGGCAAAGATTATTATGTCTTCTTTACAGACACCCTGCCATTTTTTTTTCCTAGTGCAAAACAAGCTGAAAGTTCTTACAAACCTCCACAGACAAATTAAACCTCTTCACTATCTTCAAGTCTCACTTTATGAACTTAATTTCTTCAGGAGAAAAACAAATAATTTGCAAATCTTGATCTAAACTCCTTTAAATACACAATTCCCAATAAGGGAATTGTACCTTTTATAAATAAGGTATACTGTAAGTCAATTTACATCTAATACATACTCTGACAAGATGCACACATCTAGATTCAGACACCTACTTTTCACAAAATTAAACACTACAAAATATACAAAACTAAACACAATGCAAAGTCTCTTGAAAGCACTATTACCTCACTATAATGCATACTTTAATCCTTGTTTCTTGGTCACATTATTTTCCTTAATATATTTTTTCCAAATAGCAYCTGCTTGTAATTTTACCTAGAAATCTACCCTACAATTGGATTAATCTTTTTCTAAGAAAATATATTCACAACTAAATGTGAGCTGAAAATCATGCCATTTAATTTATGGTTACCTAGTTTCTGGATTTTTGTCTAGTGACTTTGAAATGTTTATATGATACTTTTGATTATGTTGTCCTTTTATTTTTTTTTCAGCCTGTATTAAAAGGCAATCTATGCAACTGTACTTAAAGAAAAAAAACAATGAAGTGTTAGGAAAAGGGGAAAATGAGAGAAAAGGAACATAATTGAAAATTATTGCTTTTTAAACAAAGAGATGAAATACAGTGCAAATATACCAAAGGAAACAAAGCTAGTTAATTTTTATTTTCCAAAACTCAGACCTAAATGAATATGTTAAATAAACATCCAGAAAACAGTCAGTGCTCACTGTATTAGCAGACGCACAAGTTATTTAACCAAACGTATTACAGTGAAATATTAACAGAATTATTTACATGCATATTTACAACACGTGTTCTTTACAGTAGCTACTTTTGGGGAAATTTGTCCATTTGCTTTTGTAAAGGGCTGCTACTTAGTCTAACCTATAACAAATGACAGGAAACGCTACAACTGAGATCAGCAACAGTGAAGTCTCTAAGGAAAACTAACATGATTACTTTGAGTCAGCTGGCTTCAGAATGTCAACATCTACAAAATAAATGAATGAGGTGCACAAGCTACGAAATCATGACAAATTATATAAAATAATTAGAAGAATGAAGAAGATTACAAAGGTTGTCAGAAGGTTAGACATGTTAGGTACATTCAAAAATATGTTAAGAACTGCACATACTCATGAGGAGCCTGGTTAAAACAGAACTATATTCATGTTGCCTCAAAGAACACAGCAAACTATTTAAAGGACTGTTTTTGCTTGTAAAAGTTGAAAATAGCTGAATCAAAGGTCTTGTAAGCATCTGACTTCCAAAATACTGCCTGCTTCTTCACAATATCAATATATTAAATGTTTATTCCAGGAAAAAAAGTAGTAGTCCAGACCTCAGCCAAGTGTCTTTTGCAAAGGGGAGCAGGGAGAGAAAAAAAAATCTTAACAAACCACTTGTCATGATCGTGACATACAAAAAAGATAATCCATATTCAGCTAATACGCAGCGTAGCACAAGCAAGCAAACAAAAAATCAGCCCTCAAAAACAAAACCCAAACAACAAAAGAGCAACCAAACAAGAACAAACAAACAAAACCATGCCAAAACCCAGTTATCTGGCATATGAAGAAAACRATGAGTAAGTCCTAACTTATACTAAAACAAGCAAGCAATTAAATTTAGATCAAGTTATTTACTCCCTTTCTCCCCCAAGAGAAATTTAATGGGACGATTCCCAGTTAAGTTTTATTTCCACTGTGATACTTTTWAAATTGTTTTTATTGCAGCCAAAACATTGTTCATTTACCTGTACATAAAATAAACTATGATATATACACAACATTTTAAGTTACAGGGCGTAAGTTTACAATTTTTGGCAGATTCTGTTTTAACAAAATGAAAATTGTTTAACATTAGTACTTGAAGAAATTCAGTTTCCTTATTTTGGTACAAATGTTACAATTCTGTGTTCCCCTGTATTCTAATCATACCTCAGCTGCTTTAATAAACTAACATTTATGCATAGTATCTCACTGTTTTCTCTTATGTTCTGATTCTAGGCAGAATTTTTCATATGCTTCTTCAATTTCTGGATCCATCTCATCATCAAGGTCATCGAAATACCTACCAAAAAAAAAAAAAAAAAAAAAAAAAAAAAAAAAAAAAGAAAAGTCAGTTTAGGTACAGATTCTTCCAGAAACAGTAAGTAGATGAATTTTT